CCAGTCTTGAGGACTAGTTCTAAATGAAAAATTATACTATTCCTGGGTTGTAAATGCCAAGACGGTAGACAATACCTGTAAATAGTTATTTAAAGGAAGTATCTATGGAAGATTACAAATTAGTAATTTTTGGTGTTTAAACAAATGCTCTTGAATTTGGATATCTAAATTATACTTTAAAAAATAAGAATAGGGTTCATTAAATGACCAACTTTGTATGGTGGAATTTTCCTAAAAGCTCCCACAGTTTTAGTAACTGGGGTGTTCTTCTCTTCATGTGAGTTTATCAAAGAAGTGTTTCATTAATATTAAATATCTAATTTTTTAACTTCTTAAGTAGGATTGATTGCTTATTTACATCCTATTTAAAAATGCCAAATTTCTTTCTAAAAACTATCTCTTTCATAATCCATGATTAAAAGCTCTTCGTTACAATAAGTCACTAGGCTGGGACTAAAGATCTATATATGAGATAATAATAATAATAACACCAACCTTACAGTGAAGTTTTGAGAACCAGATAACACAGATGAAAGGGCTTTGCAAATGATAAAGCACTGTCTAAATGTCCCCCTTTAGCAGTTGCGGCTGCCACAGCTGCTGACTAAAAGGAGTTTATCCCTGGAGTGTTCACCCTCATTAGAAACACAGTTGTGATCAAGCACCATGTGATGAGATACAGAGAGTTCTCCTAGATTGAGAGGAGGAAGAGATGAGTGGAGTGACAGAAGTAACACCGTGAAGGAGGCAGGATGGGGGGAGGGGAGTGGCCTCAGATGGGCAAGAGATGGATGAGAGGAAGGAGAGGGGCACTGTGGGAAAATGGTCCAACAGAGCAGCATGGAGTGTTCACAAATAATATGGAGTCTTGAGATACAGAGTCTGTGCAGGGAAGCAAAGTGTGAGATAAAGCCAGAAAGGAAGGTGAGTACAGGTGGTGAAGAGCCAATGTCCACAACATCCAATATTTTTTCAAGTAGGTCAACTCTACATCTATTCTTACTATCCACTGAGTACTTATATTACTTACCAGAGGCCAGGTGCACGAATTCGTGCATGGGTGGAGTCCCTCTGCCTAACGGGGAGGGACCGAGAGAAGTTGGCTGGCCAGCCCCTCCCCCCATCAGGGCAATTGGGAGAGCTGGCCAGCTGGGGGTAGGGGCCATGGGAGGTTGGCCGGCCACAGGAGGTTGGCTGTGGGAGCGCACTAACCACTAGGGGTCACCTCCTGCATTGAGCGTCTGCTCCCTGGTGGTCAGTGCGCATCATAGCAGTCATTCCGGTCATTTTGGTCATTCAGTCATTAAGGTCGCTTAGGCTTTTATATAGAGAGATATTCAAGTTTATCATTTATCAGCCTTCAAATCTCATTTTAAAAGTCCCACAGGTGAAGGATGTAGCAGAGGGTTCTTGCACTTCTGCTCATTCTTCAGTAGGTGAGAGATAAAGGGAAGTGGCAGGAAATGGGCTGAAAAGGGAGAGCTGCACATCCTGGCAGCATTCCCAGGATGGAGGCAGCTCCGAGGATGTAAAGAGAAAGCAGTAAAGCAGCAGTGTAGGCTGCAGGCAGGTTGGAGCAGAAACCAGGGGAAGGAAGGAAGACAAATGACTTGTAACTACCAATTTGCAGGGCCATGAAACCTGAACTCTTCTGGATCCGCCTTCCTGGTGAGTCCTCTGGCTCCAAAACCCTGGACAGGAAAACTGATACCCATAAAAAAACTGGCTGAGTAACTACAAAGTGTGATAAATGCTTCATCTTGATTAAAGGCAGTGGTTTTTCTGACAAAGAAAAATCGTGGCTGGTTGACTCCGCAGAGAGGTTATAATGTATGGTTACACGTGGGAGTTGGAGAGAACTGCATAACGCATGTTGCAAACAGACATGTTGACCATTAGGAGCTGGGAGGAGAGAGGCAAATGAGACAGAGTCTTAGCCACAATGAGCAAGGAGGAGATGTCACATCTTACATTCCCTCCAACAGAGGGGAGGTCAGGCTGGCCTTGTTTTTCTTTGGGACTGTGGTCTCCAAGTGAATCAATAGTAGGCTGAATCATCGTAACTCAACCACAGATATCCATTAATTTTCAGTAATACCATGGTTAATGCTCCTCTAGTTTCAACCTGGACCCTAAGACCTTTTAACCAACTCTATTCTGTCCTTACATGGACCGTCTCTTAACCCCAGTCTCAAGGGATAGACAAGAATAACCAAAAAGTTGAGTCAATAAGTGAATTAAGATCTAACTATGAACAAAACAATCCCTATTACTTACTAAACAAAATCCAAGAGCAGCTGTCTTTGTTAAATTGAAGAAATATATTTTAAACACTGGTATACCTTTTAAAATAGAAGTCAAATCTGTATGTGTACTAAAGCTACTCAACCAGGATAAAAGTTGAAATAAATATGTTTTCAAATCAAACTCAGCTCCATCCCAACCAAAGCTCCCTTGTTTGAGCGCCTCTCTGGGGCTGTGGAGCTCCCTTCTCGGGTATTGGCTGTGCCGTGCCCAGATGATTTCAGGCAGGTTTTATTGTGGTGATACTTAGGAGGACACCAATGCCACATCCACTCGCAGTGCCTGTGGAGAAGTAGGTGCAACAAATCCAAGATCCTATCCCTAAGTCTCCCTGAAGGGTAATAGGATGAGACGGTGGCTATACCTCTGAGTGATGTCATGTCTCTGTTCATGCTAAAGGAGGATTTGGATGGAGAAGTGGGAGAGGCAGCAACAAGATAAGGGAGAGATGCCTGGCCAGTGTGGTTCACTAGTTGAGCATCAACCTATGAACCAGGAGATCATGGTTCAATTCCCAGTCAGGGCACAGGCCTAGGTTGCAGGCCTGATCCCCAGGAGGGGGCATGCAGGAGGCATCAATGATTCTCTCTCATCATTGATGTTTCTATCTCTCTGCTTCTCTCCCTTCCTCTTTGAAATCAATAAAAATATATTTTAAAAGGTAAAAGAATAAAAAAGAGAAGAGAGAGGGAGAGAGGGGAAAGGAGGAGAGAGATTGAGTATATAAATGAATGAGAGACAGAAAAGCTGATCAAGGCAGATGCCCAGACACAGAGATGCAAGAGGTATGCAGGCTGCAGGCTTGTTGAAACAGAAACTGGGAATGAGGCCAGAGGAAGGAAGAGGAGAGCACGGTGATGGGAGCAGGAGAGATGCCTAACAGAAGTAGGATGGAGAAACAGAGAAAACAATTTGCCCTGGAAAAAAAGAATAGAAAGCAGATTTGTGGGTCACCGAAGGCCATAATTTCTAACAACCTCAGAAAAAGGCAAGGAACAGCTGATCACTTGAAAATGTGGTCATGACTGTTCCTTAGACAAGACCAGAAATGAGGGCTCTAATTCTGGGCTTTGGATTCCTGAAGGATCTTGAAGATTCAACACCACTCTCTGTGCTCCCATAGCTTGCATTTGTTCACCAGTGAATGCTCTCTTCACGTCCTGAAAGGAGAACTTATATTCCTATGATGTTTCCAGGCCCATTTATGAAATACCTCACAGAAGTCACCACTGTCATTACACTGAGACATCAAGATAGTTTATGTAAAGACATATTTTAAAGCCGAGGTAACATAACTCTCAGGGAAAACAGCAATCAGGCAACCCCACAATGTGATTAGCTATCAGAATTTGGGGGCAAGAATTGAAAAAACTCAGTGAAGTCTCAAAACTTTAGATTGTAAATAAGTGCTTTATATACAAATACTTTAATATATCAAACCTTAAATTTTCAAATGAAAAAAGGTTGGTAAACCACCAATCTTAACTGAGCTGAAATAAACCTGAGGCTGGGGTGGCAGTCTGTATAAATAATATTAAGATTATTTTTAAAAATGTTTAACACTCGGTAACTTTTAGAGCTTTGTCAGTACTTGAGCCCTCCCTCATTACTAACTTTTTTTAAAAAATATGTTTTTATTGATTTTAGAGAGGAAGGGAGAGGGAGAGATAGAAACATCAATGATGAGAGAGAATCATCAATCAGCTACCTCCTGCATGCCTCACATTGGGGATCGAGCCCACAACCCAGGCATGTGCCCTGACAGGGAATCAAACCGTGACCTCCTGGTTCATAGGTCGACGCTCAACCACTGAGCCACTCCAGCCGGGCCCTTATCACTAACTTGAAATACTTATTACTAACATACCTTCCCATTGGCAGGTTAAACTGGCATTTTCTGATGTCTACTTCATAGCACACATTATGGGAGACACCCACATGATCTCACCTAATCTCACTACCGGTGTTATTATCCCAATTGTACAGAAGAGGAGACTGACGCTGGGGGTGGTTAAGATCACATGACTGGGAACTGGCAGAGCCAGGATACAGACTGAGAGCTCGGAGTCAAAGTCTGGCGCATCTTGTAAGATACCAGACTGCCTCCATCATTCACACCTGTGGCCAGAAAGGAGTTGGCTATCATCCAGAAAGTAGGATGCTGGAATGTAAATATTATCTTCTTGTTCATCTACAAGCATGTCAAATATTTCACAATAAAAATATATATGAAGTAATGTAATAGACTAGACTATGTTACCCCCAAATCTGTATGTTTCTCTAACTCTTAGGACTTCAGAATGTGACTTTATTAAGAGATAGGGCTTTTAAATAGGTGATTAGGTGCTCAGCTCAGCAGCACATCTATATATATAAAAGCCTAAGCGATCATCTGACTGTCTGACCATTCAACCGGTAGTTATGACATGCAATGACTACCAGAGGGCAAACGCTCTGACAGGTAGCTATGATGTACACTGATCACCAGGGGACAGATGCTTAATGCAGGAGCTGTGGTGACTTGGCAGCTGCAGTTTTTAGGTGACACACCCAGAAGGGAGCCCGATTCCAGGGTGCATCACCCGAGAACCACCCTCTTACAATCTGGGACCCCTTGGGGGATGTCATAGAGAGCCAGTTTCAGCCTGATCCCCACAGGCCAGGCTGAGGGACCCCACCAGTGCACAAATCCATGCACCGGGCCTCTAGTATACTATAAAATTGGAACTGTACAGAGAAGATTAGCATGGCCCCTATGCAAAGGTAACACACAAATTCACGAAGTGTCCCATAGTTTTTGAAAAAATAAATAAATAAATAAATAAGCTGGTGTGGCTCAGTTGGTTGGAGCATCAACCCCATACACCCAAGGTTGTGTCCAATTCCAGGTCAACCAATTGACCAATTGACGTTTCTCTCATACACCGATGTTTGTTTGTTTCTTTCTTTGTTTCTTCCTTTCTCTCTCTCTCTCTCTCTCTCTCTCTCCCTCCCTCCCTCCTTCCCTCCCTCCCTTACTCTCTCTCAAAAAAATTATTAATAGTTAGAAAATGGACTGACAGCTTTCAGAGGAGGGGGGGTTGGGGAGCTGGGTGAAAAAGGCCATCAGGATATTGATAAGGGTGGCAGATCAGAGCAATGGAAAAGTGGGAAAACTGAAGTTAACATTTACTAGATAAATGCCCTCCAGGGTAATCCAGCCTCAAGTGACAGAAACACCTCTCCCAGCCACTAAATATTATTTAAGTAGACGTGAGAAAAGCTCTTTCAGACCCCGGGAGAAAGCCACTGACCAGATGTAGTATGTTATCAAGATTTTCCCACGTTTGCCTAGACCCTCTCTACAAAAAAGAAAACAGAGATAAGGCCACCCTAGGAAGTGCCCTGAAATGAACTATGCCACTTAAAGCAATTGTTCAGACCAGTTAGGCAAGGGACCTCAAATAATATTTTCCACAGCTGGGACAGAAGAAGGAGGTCAAGAATTTTTTTTCTTTTTTCATCCCCACCACTAACTCTAATACCCAAACTTGTCCCTCTTACCCTGTCTTCCTCTCCCTCTATCCTTCTTTCCTGGCTGTAAATGCTTTTTTGGATTCTGATAGTCCAGATTATGAGCAGATGAATGTGTTCAATAAGACAGCACTTCCCTAAAACTCCTCTACAACTTCAGCATCTTCAGTGAGGACTCTATAAGTACTTCTCCTTCCTGCTCTTCCATGTTCTGTACAGGAGAAATGGACATTACATTTCTTTCTTGGGACTCCTGTCTTCATGCACTGTGGTCTATCACTTTAACTGAAGATGGAAGAATCAGCTGGTCTTTTGCCCAGGCCTCAGCACATAGGTCTCAGGTGTGAAGAAGCTACCTGCGTGGCACTGGTGACAAGAGGAGACATATTTCTTCCCAATGTAACCCACACTATGTCTTTTGGAAAAGGAGCCCCAGACTGGGACGGGCATGGTATTATGCATATTACTCACCACTCCTAAGAGCAGAGGGGAAAATTGCAATAGAAACATTCAAACCTGCAGCTTTTTAGCCTGTCATTCTTCTTGGTCAGGCATTAACCTAAAAAGAATTTCTTGGACCCTGGTGATCTGTTTCCCAGGATTACCTTTCATCTCCTCTGCTGATTTCAAGCAGCACAGCCCCTTGAACTCTCCACCACAGCTCCAGCTCCTCCCACATGCTGTCATGCCCAGACTTGCATCTCTTTCACCACACCCTCCAGGTTCCTCCACAATAATCCAACTTGGAAGAGGAGCCTGGGGGTCTGTTGGTCTGTGAGCACACACCCCCCTCTACTGGACAAACATAAAGAAACATACAGGGCTGGAGGACCACAGAATTCCCCAATAGGAAGAAACATCTAAGTCACTATCCTTACCCTGTACATGAGAAAGCAGAGGCTTACAGATGTTCCAGAAATCAACAGAATCACAAAGGGAATTGGAGGTCGAGCCCTGCATCTCTCTGCCTCCCATGTCAAGCATCACCATCATGTGGAACCATGTCCTTCTACTCACAAGAAAAGAGCACTAAGTGACTGAGTTCATGGGAGTCTCTAGTTCTGAGATGAAAACCTCTCCAAGGCACAGCCATGTATGAAGAAGTAGAGTGTTGGTTAAAAAGCACTGGGTTGGAGTCAGAGGACCTGGTCTCTAGTTCCATGCCTAGTACCTACAACCTCTGTGAGGCTGGACAAGACCATTTGATGTCTGGGTTTCCCGGTTCTCAATTATGAAGTGAAAGAGAACAGATGATCTCTAAGGGTGCCTCTCAGAATAGGAGTACAATTGTGAGTGAGTGGGCAAACGAGTGCAAACAGGATCACAACACTCAGGAAAGTGCATTAACTGGAAACCTGGAGACCTTGTCCTAATCCTGGCTCTAGAACCCACCAGCTGCTTGACCTTAGGAAAGTCTGTTCATCTCCAGAACTCTGTGTTAGGAATATGGATCAAGCTAGATGATCTTGGTAGGAAGACTGTACCTTCTCAATCCCTAAGTTCCTACAATCATGAGTAATGATAACTCTGAGTATTAATGCTTTCTTCAAAGGATCCCAAAGCCACAGGGACATGTTAATACATTGACCTTTCTACTTGTTTATAATATAACTAAGAGTACATAATTCAAATTATCTGCATGGAGTTCAAAAGAACACAAATACATACACTTACTTCCAACCTGTATAATGGGCAAGGTATTAGTCTAAAATCCTACCATCAAGAGCTTCTGTAAGCCACATTACAGAACAGACAGGAAATCCCTGCTTTCTATGAAATAGTAAGTAGAACTAGTAAATCACCAAATTAGATCATTAATTCCACTAATTTTAAATTAGGCTGTAGGAATTGACATAAAGTTTAAAAGAAGAGACAAAATAAAACAATGGCAAGGTTATTTCCCAATGGCCTAAGGATGGCTCTGGAAGCAGAGGGAAAGGGTCACTGAACTATCAGGTCCAGCCCACCTCACCCCAAACCGTTCAATAAACAGAAATCTATATAAAAAGAGTATGTTTGTCATGGAAATGCAGTGTCAAAACAGGTTCTGTAGGTGCACCACCATCCACCTGGCACCTGGCTGCTACTACCCTGGAGTCTGGATCTGCTGCAGACCAAAGGGGGCACAGCAGGGGATTGGGAGAGCTTCATCACCAACTATAGGACTGGCAGCCCCGAGGTCAAGTGGAAGGACACTGAAAGGTAAAAGAAAACTATGACCCTGGAAGACTTGCCTAACCTCTCTGCCATTCAGCTATCTCACCTTCTCTTAAAAACAAATTTAAAAATAAAAGCAAATACATCCGAGTCACAATGTTTTGCAGCTAAATTTAAGGCAGCCTACACATTTAAAATATTTTGTTTATTGAGTTTCTCCCTTCAAATTATCTCCCAATATCTCCATCCCCTTTCTGGCCCCTCAAGAAATTTTTTTTGAACGTGTTTAAATTCAAATGATGTTCTGTCTGACCTGCACTCACTAAGACCAATAAGCACTTTAGATGTTAGATATACAACTATTTGAGGACCTTGTTCCAGAAGTTTCTCTACATATTTTTTTGTTCCAAAAGGGCAGTGTAAAGTTTTGAGAGTCTTCAGAATCTCACCCCCTATCTTAAGGCCTCATTTGTAAAGACTCGTTCCTGAAAATAGAGAGAATATTGCTGTTAAATGTTGGTACAAAATGAACAAGGGTAGGAAGATCTCACTGTGAGATAAGCCAGAACACAGACTAACCCAGTTAGCAAGGAGAATGTTGGCTCTGTCAGCCAGCCTTCCCTGCTGCTGCTTCTCACTGGCATCCAGTAGGAAAGATCCCTTTCACACCTGACACAAGAATGCACTGTCCTCTGAAACATGAGAAAAGCCATCCCCTGGGGAACAGGAGGCCTCTTGGCAGGAGTGAAGCTAGAGAAACCAAAGCGTAGCTGGCAAGGCCCATGTAAGAAGTGACTTTCCATGGAATACTGTTGGAATCAGGTTGTGCGATATTCTTAAAATATATTGCTTAAAACTGGGTAGAATCATCACTGTGCATCATGTACCAATACAAAGCTTCTATAAAGCTATGGAACAGTATCCTGTTTTCTGCCTTGTTTCTCTCCATCACACATATGCCCGGCTAACACAGTATAGAAATGACTGATTTTATTTTGGTCCACAATGTGAGCTCCATGAGGACAGAAATTAGCTTATTAACTTTTTAATTTTTTTGGTTTGTTTTGTCCACTACTGTGTCCACTATATCTAGAACAGTGATGAATACATGATAGGTAGTCAATAAATACGGTTGAATGAATGAATGATTTTTGAGTGCCTCGCAGAGATAAGCACACATCACCATAGCGACAGGGCTGTGTTTGCTGTTACAGTTCAAAGAAGTTGGTTCCATGGTCACAGGGGACATGGCAATGTGATGAAATTGAGGACAGTGATTCGACATCATCTCTCCTCTGCTATTTACATTAGCAAGTTACCCTCTCTGAGTCTTACTTCTGTTCTCATTCAGATGGAGATGGCATTCCCTGCTTCTGGGACAGGCTGGTTAGGAATCACACAGAAAGTACATGGCATTGAAGAGGTTTAAATCTCTTGGGAGATTATGAAAAATAAGCATTTTATGCACATATACTGCGCACCCATATAGACAAGGACAGAAGCATAAGCATAAAGAGAGATGGAAGTGTTTGGGAACAGTTTCAAATAGGAATAGAAAGTAAGTACCCACTTCTGTCTATGGAATAGCTTTGAAACTGCTGCATCTTAATCTTATACGATGATATTTCTGGATAAGTGTCTAAGCAAGTGATTTCATTGATGAATAATGTTATATTTTTTTTTCCTGAAAATGGAGCAAGGATTGTGTTAAGGGTTCCAAAGTGTTTTGGATACAAAATTTAGGAAAGTCAATATAACTCTATCAAAAGAATGTTTTTTCTCTAATTCTTAACTTTTTTTTAAAGCATTTTATTTTCTATATTGCAAGCAAGTTTCTTAAATCCTTTCTGGAACAAGGTAAGGCATAAACCAAAGGAATGATTTTTAAAAACAGACAGAAATATAACCACTCATCCAATGGGGGTTTCTGTGTGGATCTGATGATGATGGATGTGGAAGTTCTAGGTAAGCAACAGTGTGTCTCCACAGATGTCACTGCAGTGGGGGGTTCTTACCCACAGCTTTCTTTAGCCGACACACCCCTTGCCTCCCCGTCCCGTCACAGTGAGACCTTCACTACCGCCACCACTCTGCAGGCAGCTGCTCTTCCACATCTGCCTCTTCTAGC